AAAAGTGTGGAGTTTTCTCTTCCTAAATAACAGAAAAAAATGGAAAACTATCATAAACCACTCCTCATTTTGTGGAATTAAATCTCTTAATACCTGTTGACAGTATTGACTGGCAGTAATGAAAAAATTACTACTGTCTTGTTTATAGGATCAGTGCTCCCGTTTTATATTATTACCAGAAATGCAGTTTGATGGTTAATAGTATACCTGTGGATATATTCTTCATTGTAATACTGATTTCCCATTTTCCAACTTTTTAGGATCTGAATCAGTGAATGGCTTACTTCAAAAATGTGCTTCAGGTGCAGGATATGACACACTTACCATTTGCAGAGCGAGAGCTGATGTTGGTAAAAATTGCTGTCAACACTGCTGCTCGAAGGGATGTCCTTGACATTGCTAGCATATTCAGAGCAAAGGCTGTTGATGTGTCTGATCACACAATTACTCTTGAGGTCAAATCTTGTTATAATTGAATGCTCCTTCTCAAATTCCATATGTTGCAGCCTGCAACTTTTATCTTTTCCCCCTCTAAGAAAAATCTTCAGATCTATATTTTAGTGATCATTCTCCGACTTCACTATTCTGGTTTTGCAAGTCCCTATCTTTGTTACCATAATTGATAAGCCTAGCACAAGAATATAACTCTAGAAATCTAAAGATGTCCGTATTGGAAAGCTAATATTGAGTAGGATAGTCTTTCAGATTTTTCAACTTATTGTGAGGTGATTATGTTGTCTCTTAGTTTCTGGAGACAACTTCTGAGTACTCCCTGTGGGCTGGTTGCAGTTGAGGAGATTTGAACAGCATAGATTGATTTAAGGGTGCTCAGTCTTGTATTTGCAATAAACTTTATTGATAAAATGATTAACCATGTGAAATTACGTGCTTTTTATGCTAGTGGCTTCTGAGGGCACTGAAGTTTGGGGGTACCAAACCTGCCAATCAAATTGGTAATTGGAGTTCATTGCCATTGTATCTGGCAGGCTTCACTTAAGCATCCCATGTTCAAAGCTCTTCTTGTAATTTCTTATTCCTTTTGTTAAATGATTCTCGAAGAAATGGCAACATGGAAATATCTGGATCAGTATGAGCAAGCAATTATGCAACCTTTGTTAGATGAATTTATCAACTTTGAGCCATTGATCCTTTTTTTTTTTCAGGACTTGCTGTTATATGCCTTTCCTTTTTACTTTCTGTTATTATCTAATCTAATAACTATTTCTACTCTCTCCAGCTCACAGGTGATTTAAACAAGATGGTTGCTCTTCAGAGATTATTAGAGCCGTATGGAATTTGTGAGGTTTGTGCCTTGGTTTCTAACCAAATCAATTATCTACAGCTCGAGATGAAATTTTGATAACCTGCGTGAATTTTCAGTATTCTTTTGTGTTTTTTTTTTTTTTGAGCAAGGAATTTTCACTATACTTGATTGACATGATTCATCTTACCAATTTGTTGTTTGATCAATTTGCTTACTGTAATGCGGTGTGTCAAGCCTTAATGATTAATGGGTTTGTTATTTTTCTTTTAGAGGATCTGTAGGTAAAATTAAGGTCTAAGTGAGGTATGCTTATGTGTGATTTTTTCTTGTTTTTTTTTTTTTTTCTCAGTTGTGTCAAAACTCAAAAGGAATTTGTTAAATGGTTCTTAAATCTTTATTTCCTTATATAAATTTGTTGGCTTGGCAGCCATTTATTCTTTCTGTTTTGGACTTTGTTTTTTTTTTTTAATTTGTTGAAGGTGGCACGGACTGGAAGAGTGGCACTGGTGAGGGAGTCGGGTGTGGATTCAACGTCTCTCCGTGGATATTCTCTTCCATTCTAAGTTTTTTATTTTTTAAATGGCTTCTGGTCATGCCAAACTCAAGTAAGGTATATTTCCTTTTGTTTTTCTTGATGTCATCTTTTTACCCTTGAGAATTTTGCGAGATTTATTTTTTCTTCATTGCTGCATTAGGTTGCTTGAGGATGCAATCAAGGTGCATTTTTACATCCAATAGGGAAAGAGCTTTCTCCCTTGTAAACTTACTAGCTTGTTTTAGGAAATACACTCTTTTTCTTTTTAATGTGGCCTTTATATCATGATATCAACTAGTAAGAAATATACTGTAGTTGTCTTTCCCTATGTTGATGCAAATGGATTTTTCCTTGTGCAAATTTCCTTGTCAAGTAATTATAAGATGCTGCTGTTAGAGTTAGTGGTATCAAGCACATAACCTAATGAGTGATAACAGATATATGGATTGGTATTAAGACATCTCATCTATGCATAATATTCTATAGGACGCTACTAAAACCATCACAAATCTGTAGATGCCTTTTCTTATGGCATCAAGCACTCTTAACTCTCTCCTTTTTCCTTCACTAAACCCACTTTGCTTCCTGAGCTACAATAAGTTCTGGAACATCAGTGTTATTGCTGTTAGAGGGTAGCATAATCTCATCTTCAGTTGTGAAATGATATCTTTCCCCGATGGCTCTCAGAAGCTGAAAGACTTCAAACATGGTTGGTCTCTCCTTCGGAGTCGGCAACACACAGTTACAAGCAACTCTAAGGAATTGCATCACTTCACTGTCAAAACCATTTCCTAGTAAAGATTTATCAATGGCTGTTTGAAGAAGAGAACTGCTTGACAGCTCTGTGATCCACTCAGCTAAACTTCCCCTGAACCTCTCTGGGGCATTGACCACATGGGTGGGTTTCTCACCAGTAACTAACTCCAAGAGAACAACTCCAAAGCTATAAATATCTCCTTTTGGGGTGGCTACTAGAGTTCTGGGATACTCAGGAGCAACATAACCGAGGTCCCCAAACTCCCCATTGACAAAAGTACTCAAGTGAGTGTCGATAGGATTCATGAGCCTTGCAAGGCCAAAATCAGATAATTTGGGCTCAAAATCTCCATCCAACAAGATGCATTTTGAGCTAATGTTTCGATGAATTATTCGGGGATTGCAATTGTGATGAAGCCATGCCAAACCTCTGGCTGCTCCAATCCCAATTCTGAGTCTCAAGGGCCAGTCCATGTTCCTGACCTCAGGTTCAGCTGGATGTAGCTTATCATAAAGTGTCCCATTTTCCATGTACTTGTACACCAAAAATCTCTCCTTTGCAACACAAAAACCTAATAGGGGAACCAAGTTGCGGTGTTTCACACTCCCAAGTGTATTCATCTCAGACGCAAATTCTTTCTCCAAACGTTGAAAGTCTTCCAGCCTCTTAATCATAAGGCAATAACCGTCAGGAAGCATCGCCTTGTACATTGTTCCCGTTCTTCCCATTCCTATGACATTGCTTTTGCTGAACTCATTAGTTGCCTTCATCAGGTCACTCAGCCTCATCTTTGAGACAGACTCTTCAAACATCGAAACCTGTAAATAGAAAACCATTTGTTTATTATTATTTAGGCATTTTGTTCAATACCAGAAGCTAACAACCAGCATCAAAGTTGTTAAGCTATTATAACTAGAAGAAATTAGCTTTGAAACATTTAACTTCAGCCACTTTGAAAGATATTGAACAGATAGACTTGCCTTGATGCCTTTCTTCCCTTTTATGGTCTTAGCCCATTTGTTGCCTTCAGGATCGTCTTCCTCCTTGTTCATAGCGGGTCCACGAGAGAAATAGAACAAGATGATGCCCACAATAATAGCTGTGAATGTTACCCCACCAACGGCTGATGCAGCAATAATGCCAACACGAGATTTCGTTGGAATAGCTGGGCAGGACTGCAAAATTTTCCCACAGAGTCCAGGATTATTTGCGTAGCTATCTGCTTGGATAGTAATATTGGGACCAAAGTCAGGGATTGGCCCTGACAATAGATTGTTTGCAACGTTGAATGTCTTGATGCGGTTGAGAACACCAAGTTGAAGCGGAATTTCACCAGTTAACCTATTGTTGCCGAGTTCAAGCACATTTAGAAAACTGCAATTCGCAAGACTCGGCGGGATGGGACCTGAAAAATTGTTGTTTGAGAGATCAAGGGACGTCACATATTTAAGTTTCTGGGATATATCAGAAGGAATGGGGCCTGACAGCTTGTTACTAGAAAGATCTAAACCTGTCAAGCTTTCACATTTCTCAATGCCTCGAGGGAAGTCTCCCTTAAGACCCATATCCGAAAGGCGGATATTGAGAACTTTGTTTTCGTCCGGGTGCCAGCAATCCACACCAGTAAACTTACATATAAAGCCTTCAGTGCTGTTGTTGAAATTCCACGAGCTTAGGTAGTTATAAGGATCTCCTAGAGAGGCCTTAGTTGATTTCAAGCACTCTATATCATTCGGAGTGGCATGGCATACTCTACCACTCAGCAATACCAACAAGAAGCAGATCAAGATATAGCCAGGAACTACTAGGGCTTTGCCATTCAAAGCCATGTCCCAGCAGAAATTCATCAGACAAAGAAATCTACGATCTATCGAGGGTTCTGCATAAAACTCAATCTACAAAACTTTGCCCCTTCCCAGGAAGGGAGTTCAAGACAATTATTAAAATGATAGCACCCCAAAAAGATACAAATTGAGAAAATATAAAGGAAATGAAAAGAGCAAAACAACAAGAAAGGAAATAATTAGAACTCAAGTAGCATAGCCTAAAATGCAAACATGTAGAATAAAGCAAAGCAAACCCAGGATGTAAAAATCTCTCAGTCTTGAGGGCATATGTGAAGAAGAATAACTCAAAGAAGAAGCTTAGTCGAGTTCCACACTGAAAATCTAAGAGTGGGGTTAGGGGGTCTTTCTTGATAGGAGCATAAGAAACAGGTAGGAATGTGCTTTTGTCCTCTTTTTTTGTTTCCAACAAATACTCCAAAGAAGCAAAATTCAAAAGAAAAAGAGGAGGCAATAGTCTGTTTTCTTCGTGTTGAAAATTCAGAGTTAGAACAGTGAACATGAAACTTAGTGGAAATGGAAATGTTTACTGAATTTTCCAGTGGTTTTGAATTGATAATGACTGACTAATTTGACAGGAAGAGACTTGACTGAGAGACTGCTTAGTTTTTCTTGCTTATAGACTGGGTTGGGGTTGGTCTTGGACTCATTGCCATACAAGACTTTTCTTATGTGAACGCCATCAATCCATGATGGATTGGCAAACTTTTCTCCCATTTCACATCTTTCACGCCTGCTTTCTGCTCCTTTTGCTGTTGATGGTTTTATTATACCAAAACAGAACACTTACTTTCGATTAATTCTTTCACGACTTTCAATTGAATCATCAATTTTCTTTAATCAGCTAAATAATAAAGGGGCTATCCTCTAACGAAATGTTTAAGTAGATATGGGATCGTTGACTGGAAACATCTATTTTAGTTTTATTAAAATAGAAGGTAGTTTTCTATCTATAATTTGTATATAAGTTTAGATATATGTAAAAACTTTTATTGATGAAAGAAATCAACATATATTATCTTTTTAAATTGTCATTAGAAATCATATTCTAATTTTAAATTTTTATTTAATTAGTTATGAAATTTATATTGAATTCGTTTATTTAGAGTTTTAATTTACAATAAACACCATCATTGGTTACATAAGGGAATTATTACTTTAAAGATCAAAGACCCTTGAATAAGACTTCACTTTTACAAAAATAAATTTTTTTATTATGAAACCCTTTTTATTATTATTATTATTATTTTCTTTGACGTTATGTAAAAATTAGCATTTAACTAATGAAACTATGGACGATTATTACTTTTTTAGTTGTTTAATATTTATTCTACAATGTAAGTTATTTTTTTTTAAAAAAAATTACTTTATGTGTCATGAGCCAACTTTGTACCAAATTATGATAAGGTAAAATTGCCTACGAGATTGAGTTTTTTAGTACCTATAAGGGAACTGTCCTTCTTTTAAACAATGTAACGGCTCATGGTAACACTTCCACAAATACTTATTAAGTTTTTAGGGGGAAGACCTTTTACGAAAACAATGTCCTCATTCAAGCATTGTAATGGTTATTGGTAGCATAATTGTAAAAATTCGTGAACTCTTTATATGGGATGAGCAGTCGATGAATTGTTGGGCTGCCTCATTGGTAAAGGTATATTTATAATGAATTATCTAGGGTTGCTCTATGGCTCGACGATGGCGTGTTTTAGACCATTTGTAATTAATTTTATATTAATAAAATATTTTTCCTTTTTATGATTAAGTGATTGCATATATGACATTTGGTATGGCCTTTAATTCAGATGCAAGTTCCTTTAGTCAAATTTATTATTATTATTAATGTTGAGATAGGTACAACTGAGTATTGGCTAACTTGTGTGGAAACGTCCACTTAAGTGCCACACGGACTATTGCATACTTAGGCGAAGGAGCATAGTTCGTAATATTTGGTATTAGAGTATGGGCGAGACGTGTTGATCTAAAGTGTAAAAATGGTGAACATGTGGAGTGCACTAGAGGACCATCAAAGGATGGAAGAGCTAGAGGCAGCGATGGCCACAGTAAAAGCTCAAATGGTCCCACGTAAGCGAATAGATGAAATTGAGACAGTCTAGCGGGAATTATCCAAGATGATTAATACCCCGAGTGATGAGACCAGAGATGCACTGAGCACTTTCCAAGGTGAGATTGGAGAACCGAAAGCTCAGGTAAATCTTTTGGTTGTTGCTTTAGGTAATG